CATCTCATACTCGAATACTGGAAATATTTGAATTACAGTGGCAGCACCAAGGGCTGCACTTCTAAAACAACTTTCGAATTTTTGGGGTAAATTTTGAATTCTACTCACATTTTAATACTGGCCATCTGGCAATTTTTGGTAAGGTCCATAAATTGTTTTGATTATTCCGGCAAAAAAAAAAAATATCGCGTGCTTTTTACCAGACCCACCTACCGGCATGTATTTCGACACCTACCGACATATATTTCGACGTACAGTAAATTATGAAAAATCGAATCATCGAGTCAAACGGACGGTTAAAAGCACCCGCCACTTTTTTTGTGTGCCGGTGCTATTATTCCGTGAGTCGCAGGTCCAAGTATCGGCACATTCCGAACGAAAAATTACACTGAAAATGGCACAACGCCGAAACCGGTTTGTCTCCAATCCAAATTTGACAAGGGATGATGGAAAATCGTTCCACGTTACATCATATTCCTACCCTGTCGGAAACACCAACAACGAAAATGAGAATAACGGCACATGCGGTAATTAATTTATACAAAAATATTTTCTAATAAAAAAAATTATTTTAATTGTCAATAGCAATTTCAATCTTGATAGTTTATCAAGAAATAGATTTAAACTTCTGTGCTATAACTGGGAGTTCTTGATAAATAATCAAAAATTGACAAATTATAAATATATTGAATTTATAAAGTGCACAGAATCGGGCTGTAAGTATATACATATATGTTATGATATATAGTATATTTTTTCACAGTGAAGAAGTGAAGATTTTGGTAGTGAAGATTTGGTCACTTTTCTTAAGAGATTTTGGTAGAAAAAAATGTTGGCGAGTGGCACCCATGAAATGAACCTTTTCACAGCGCTCTCACGAGAAAAAGAGTTTCGTATCATGTCATCCTTGGCACAGCAGCTACGGAAATACTAACAGTCAACAGCAAATTCAGCATCTCTCAAAAGCGAAAATAGTTATCATATATACATGAGCACTGTTGCCAGCTTGGTGCTTTTCGCACCAACGCGAAAATTTTTGGTGCGTTTTTTGGTGCTTTTTTTTTAAGTTGAATACACCAAATCTGTAAATCTTAAAAACAAATCTAAGCTAAATTAGTAGCAATCGTAAATATTTTAGCAGCTTTACAAAAATGGAAACAAAAACATGGCATAATGACAATCGTAAGCGAGCATATGTATGTTTGGCAACAATTTTTTGACACAAAAAGATTTTTGCCACTATGAGCTTAAATAAGGCACATTAAAAAGGGAAAGCAAATTTCTTTATGTTTCAGGTGTCAAGCAGTCGGAAAGAACAGTTCTTTATGTTCATTTAGTTCACGAGCAGTGTTGCCACAAAAAAATTACCAAATTCTTAAAAAACGGACGAAAAATCCGAACAAATTACTCAAAATTTTCTTATTACAGATATGAGTATTGTGTACTGCAGACTATTTACAGGTACTTAGTATAAAAATTAATTACATTCTCCAATTCATTTGGTACATTTGTTCTTGCGGTTCAAACAAAGTATCACCGTTACGAAGCCGTTTGAGGAGAATGTGAACAAAAATCAAAATTTTTTGATTTTCTGGCCGCCATGTTGACGTCTGATCAAATCGCTTAAGTTGTGTATGATAAAATCGCCTCATTCGCGACGAAATGAGGACGCGAGAGAGAAAACTCGAAGAAAACCACACGCTTTTACATTGTGAACCGGAAGAAAACTAAAATTCTTTGCTTGAACGAGTCATGTTTGCATGATATATGGCGAAATGGGAAAAGTAGGTTTGAAGAATGTTTGCCAAGCCACTTGTGTGGTGTATTTCGCTCTTTATAAAACTTCGGAAAGCTTTTTGTTCAAAAATTTGCAGTGCGATTTAACAACTCTCTTGTGTAAAACATGGCTGCATTTGTTCTCTGCAAATATATCGAGAGAAAATTCCTCAAAATAAAAAATGACTTTTGGCTCCGTTTGTATGGAAGTCGTTCATGACTTTTTCATATAAATGGTAATTTCGTCGTTGATGTCATCTGCATGACTTTGTCCTGCAATGAACTTTTTATAAGTGACCGCTGCAAGACATTGTCTGTTATAAGTCTTTGATAGGAGTACACCTGCATGACATTGCCACCAGTGTCATTGTCAGCTATATGTCGTTTAGGATTCACAGCAAGTGCGACGGTGTCACTAAATCCTCATTAATGACAATGTCACCGGTGACCATTTTCGTTACTGGGATTGAGAGTCGGAGTACATACAATCGGTTTTATTACCCTCTTCTTCCCCCTTCATGCTGGCTCTTGATGCCCCCCTCATCCGGCTCCTAAATGAGCCAAGCCGGCTCCTCAGTGCAAAAGGCTCCTGGGAGCCAATTTGCCCATCTCTGGTATAGACTATAGATTGACTGTATCTATAAAAATTGTCTCTACCCTCCAGGAGTGCTGGAGTCAATCGCTACTTTTGAACCGCTACTGCACCGACTCCTAGGTAAGTAGCTACTCTTTTAACCCGTGGTAGTGCACATGGTAGTGCAGAGTCGAAACAGTCGTAAGCAGAATAGCGAAAAACTACGACAGAGGGCGCCCATAAATCACGCAAGTGACTACTTTAGTAACTCCCGGTAGTGCAGAGAGAGCCGATGGTGATTACCGCCTAGGACATTGCCTTGTAAAAGTAATCGATGAAATACACTGCAAGTAGTCGGTCGGTAATTGACGGTGTTTATCAGGTAGCTACCGATTCAGAAGTCCTGTAGTCACTCCCCCGTACTGCAGGGTATCAATAGAAGAAGGAGTATGGCAGACGAAAGCACAAAGAAATTTACGTATATATGTTTTATTGTTTTTAGGTAAAAATTTCAATTTCAATTTATTTCAGTATTAAGTATTAGGACAGTAAGACCAAGATCTTTTATATATAAACTATAGTATAGTACAACAAATAAATTCAATACTAAGACATACATTAATACATATAATTAAATCACATATTCATGGTTAACAGAGATTAAATTAAAATATTACATAGATGGTTCACCAATTGTTAGAAAAGTAGCTATGTATATAAAGTGGTTTTGAAGTTGTTTTTATTGATCTTGCTTTTAATTGCAGCAGGAATTGAATTCCAGATTCCTAAAGCATTGATGAAGAATAGTCTAGTAGAATTCTTAAAGTTAAATAAAGGCACCATTAGATCAAAGGGACGCTCACACTTTGATTAAATTAATTTCTCATAAAAATAAGGTGGGGTCTTTGTGGCGATAAGTTTGAAGAGAAAGACGCTGTTTCTTGATTTTAGATAATCAGTGATATCACATCATAAGAAGCTACATCTCCACGCAGGTATATGGTCAAACTTCCGCAATCCATATACATAACGTGTAATTTGGTTAAATAATATGTCAATCTTATGGGACTTTTAAGATGATGGAACCCTTACTAAACAATTTTCATTTTATGGAACCTCACATCAAAGTACTAAAAATCAAAGGCAGTGCAATTTAATTCCCCAGAGCATTTCATTTTGTATAGTGCTGAAGAAGCAAGTGTTCCACCATCGCTCTGACGTCCACATCCACCAACTTCAACCGACAAAAATTTGCATTTCGCATCTGCAACAGCTTGTAGTACTATAGAGAAATATTTCTTGTAATTAAAAAAACATTGATCCGGAACCCGCTGGACATTTTAGACGGATATGTTTTCCGTCGATGGATCCGACACAATTCGGAAACCCCCAAAGCTTCCAGTAGTCCTCTGATACTTTTTTCAAACTGGCTTTGGTATATGCAATGGTTGCCAAAATTCCCACAAGATACCGAACAGTAGAAGCACCCATTCGAAATGAAAAAGCTAGCGACCTAAATGAAATTCCAATTGCAAGGTATCTAAAAAATAAGAAAATACATACCTTAATTCATAAACCAACAAACTTTTATTGAATTTTTATTTTTATTTAATGATATGTATGTATATTAGACTGCATCACTCCCCATACAAAAAAAAATCGGTACTATTTTTCCATTGGAATTATAAAATCTATTATATTTTAAGACGTCCACCAAAATATTTCGGAAAAATATTAAGATTTAAGTGAGCTGGACCTATTTGAAAATACCTCCAAAAATCGAGTTTTTTATGAATAAAAATAGTTTCTTAAAGATTTTGAAAAAATCCCCTCAAATGATAAAACGGTTTAAGCTTAAAATATTTTCATAAAAATATTAAAAAAAAATTAAGAAAAAAAATTTAACGGAATCGTAATGATGAGATTTTTGATGCTGTTTTTTAACTTTTTTCAAAGATTGGTATAGAAAAAACTTGAATAACTGAACCTAAACTCTTCCGATTTAGACTTAAGAGGTGTCGTTGGAAAGCTATTTTCTCACCCTTTTTATTTCATTGCTAACTCATTCAAAGGATGGAAGAGAAAGGTAGGATGAACGAATGTCATTCAAAGTTGAATTAAGATGTGTTGGTATTCGAAAAAAACAAGATGGGACACGAATGACGTTTTTTTGGCCAGAAATAAAAACTGTGTGAAAATACCTTTCTACTGAGATCCCATAGGTCTAAATCAGAACATTTGTGGCCCAGCTATTCCAGTTTTTCGTAAACCAATCTTTGAAAAAAGTAAAAAAAACAACATAAAAAATCTCATTATTACGATTCCGTTGAAAAGATTTTTAAATATTTTTATGCAGATTTTTTAAGCTTAATCTAATTTGTGATCTGAGGGGACTTTTTTCAAAAAGTTCTTTAAGAAACTATTTTTATTCAAAAAAATCAATCGGTCCAGCTCGCTTAATCTTAATATTTTTCCGAAATATTTTGGTGGACGTCTTAAAATATAATAAATTTTGTAATCCCGGTGGAAAAACCGCAACTTTTTTTGGTGATGCAGTCTAATGTATATTTATCAGTCGTATTTAATATTTTCTTCATTGAATATTGATATCAATTATGTACATAAGCATGTATATCCTTTTGGTTTTCAGCTGCAATAATAAAAAAGAAATGGAAGCAATTGAGAGACACATTCCGAACTGAGCTGAAAAAGATTCCACCTGAACGTTCAGGTGACCCAGGACCAGGCGGCTCTAATGGAAACGCTTCACAGTGGCCATATTTTACGTCAATGATTTTCATTAGAGATCAGATAAAATGTCGAAAGTCGTCGGGGAATCTGACTCAGCAAAAACCATTGGAGGAAGGTATTTATATTGAAGATGAGGATAACAACAATGGTATCGATATGGACATTAATAAAACACCGAAGGGTCAAGGAAGCAAGGAAAATTATAGCGTCGAAAACAGCATGAGTACTTTTGAAGTAGAGACACCCAACACCTCACAAAGCGCACGTAAAAAACTTAAGCGAAATGATGAAGTGAATGCTGAAATAATTAAAATCGAAAAAGAAAACTTGATCTATTGGAACAGAGATCAAAACAGAAGATACAAACTGATGATGAGGATATGGCTTTCTTTGTGAGTTTGTTGCCACATATTAAAAAAATGGATCCAGGACAAAAACTTCTCTGCAGAATGGAAATACAAAAATCTGTTTACAACTTTGCCTATAAAAACGGGTGCTCCTCGTCGCAATACGCAAACTCATACGTCCAGTCGCCAGCCATTCTGGAATCGGAATCGACGCAATTTTCCGAAAATCCACAAGACATGTACAATATATTTCAGAAGATATTTCTTTTTTTCAAGAACAATGTATCAATGACATTTAATTAATTAAAATAAACTCTTTGGATTAAAATTGATTAATAAATACGGTTTGAAATATCGCTAGCTTAGAAAGAAAAGTTGCTAAGTCCCATTTTAAAAATTTTACAGGAGAGGAAAAAATCTTCCTATAGCCATTTTCTTTAACTATTTCGCAAGACTTTGAATCAAGCATTTTGCGCGTTTAAAGAAGAGCAAAAGTCCATAAGAATCAGGAGGTTTCGATATTTATTAAATGATGTCGTATTATTTTGGCCTTATCGGATTTGCGGTGCTTCTTTTGGACTTAGCAAATTTTCCGTTTATTGCTTATGAAGAGGAAAAAATAAAACAAGTACCTTTATAATTTTCGAAACGATGCGTATTCAATTTCTCTAGCCTCCTATATCAAAATATGAGTTTTCATAAAAAGTGGACTTAGCAACTTTTCACTCTAAGCTAGCGATATGCACTTTTTTATTTCGGAGTGAGTTCGGCGCAAAAACTCCACGGGTGGCGTAGCCGGAGTTGGAATGATGGTACTACCTTAAAGTCACAAACAATCTTTCAGTGGCCATGATGGGGGTTGTATTGAAATTGGTCCATTGTTTTTCAAGAAATGGCTCAATTTTTGATAAAATGTAATCAAAAGTATTAATTGACATTCTCGTATAATCAAAAAATGTCCGTCCGTCTTGCCGTAACTCATCATACAAATGGTGAAATTCTCCAAACGTTTTTCTGGACAAATTTATTTCGTGAATTCCTGTTTTTTCTTTATTTTCATTTAATTTTATCTTTAGAAAAAGGTTTTCATTTAGAAAAAATTCCTCATCTGAAAACGAATCCATTTTAGTTGTCATTGCATCGCAATCGTCTTCCACTACGTACACTCGCCAGCTCGCCCGCAAAGCAAGCAATTCGTCTTCGGCTTCGTCTTCACCTTCGTCTTCGGCTTCGCTTCCACTCTGTTTGCAACCTTAATTTTATATAATTTACAAAAACGAGGAAAATTCGAGTTTTTCGAGTAATCAAAAATTCGAGCTTTTTAATTAGGTTTCTTAGAAAATTTTTGAGTATGCACTTTTGTAGTTTGAAGTAGCTAAGTCTCAATGTTGATTTTTGGCAACTATTTGTATTTGAAGGTTTCCGATAGTATTGCGTTAGTGGCTACCATTCATCGATACTGGTTTCAAATTGAAACTATCGATTCTATCGATAGTGCCATCGATAGTTTTGCAGCTCTAGTTCCTTGTAGAAAGTTGTATATAACCCTTTGGCTACAGCGGCCAACAACACATACCGGTTAGAAAAAAACAAGCTGGCAAGCGCAAGCTCAACGCTCCTATGTAGGTATGGCACTCAGTACGGCAATCATACCAACTACGAGTACATATGTATGTATACTTGAAAATAGATAATTGCGTCTCGGTCAAGTTTATAGCACTTTTCTTTCTGTGTGCAACTCAAACCGACCGCCGTGCCTATTCATACCAAAACTAATTTCGCGGAACCCCGGTGAATTTTCTACGGAACCCTTGGGTTCCGCGGAACACACTTTAAGAACCTCTGCTGTATACCACCTCAACATAAGTAATAATAGGTAAGATTAATTGAAGCTGCCTTATATTTCTTAATAACCCTAAGTTGGTAACTTTATCAATTAATTTCAGGGGATTGGTTTTAAGATAAACTGAAAGAATACTGCTAAAAAGGAATTTTGTCTTAAAAACAGGTAGAACATATGACTTCGCAGGGTTAAGGCAAAGGCCGTTGAGAGCAGCCCAATGCGAGATAGATGATAAGCCCATATTCAAATCAGATGTGATTCTGTCCAAATCCTTTGAAGGACCCGATAATCATGAATATGTCATTTGTGAAAGCACTAAAGAACAAGGGGCCCAAAATAGATCCCTGAGGAACACCGCGTGTTACGGATTTAGTTCCAGAGGTAGTGATGTTCCGATACGAGTACATATGAGTAAATACTCGAGTACCTCTACCAAGTAGCGAGTATTTTTAGTACTTCCATACATGTGACCAAGTACTTGGTGGGTATCGAGTACATTGTGCAAGTATTTACTCGGTCGAAGAATTTATGCAACCATAGTCAAATTAGTAAAGTTGCCACAAGTTGGATATATGAAGTTTGACACATATCCCATGTGCTGAAGCTTTATGGTATTTCATACATTACGCAGGAAAAATACGTATATATATATTTATGCTAAAAATAAGCATATATTTTCATATTCACAAAGCCATTTCTGAATTAAATTAGAATATGTATTTACCTATAAGTATGTATATATTAAAAATAAGCATATATTTTCATATTAAAAAGCATTTTTGCCTTAAATTATATCTTTGTTTATTTAAAAAAGATTTCAAAACTGTTTTGAAATATTTCGTCCGAGTACTTTCGAGTACAAGTAGAATCGAGTATTTTCTAGCGATACTTTGAGAAGCATCGAGTACCCCCTTCGATGCTCTAAAATGAGTACTGGTATCGAGTACATGGTGGTATCGGACGAACACTATCCAGAGGTTACTGAACCAACCTTCAAACGCTGGATTCTACCTGTCAGGTAGCTTTTCATAAGCGATAGTGCAGTTTTACCGAATCCGAAATAAAATGAAAGTTTAAGAGTGTGAGATCTACGGATTCAAATGCTTTGGAAAAGTTAATTAGGCACAGGAGGGAAATATCACCATTATCAAAGGGAATTCGGAAATCGTTCAGAATGTTTACTATCATGTTCTTTTCGGACATATGTGACATGATTTGCTCAGACATTAGGGACTCAAACACTTTTGACAAGGCAGGCAAAACACTAATTGGACGGAAATCACAAGGTGAGCAACCACGTTTGTTTTTACCAACTGGACAAATAGAAGCGGCTTTCCATAACTTTGGCAAACAAGATGTGGTAAAACAGTGGTTAATGATGTGTGTCAGTCGACTTATGATGAATGGCATAACTAACTTAATAAATCGAATTGGCAGACCATCCTCGCCAACCGCTTTGGAGTTAATTTTGAGAATACATCTAGCCACATCACCTTCATATACAGAGGAAAATTCAAATTCGAATACGTAGTCGAAGTAGGATTTGGGGCGAATTGTGACATACAACCGTTAGACGAGGCACTACAACGAAACACATCATTCAGACTTTCAACATCTAACATACACTCAGATCTGTCCTTGGCATGTACCTGAAGATTTTCAATATTCCGCCATAATTTACAAGAGCGGAGAGAATGATATCGAGTTTGACTGCAAAGTATTTATACTTTTCTGTCTTAACTGCCAAGGTGGCTTTATTTTTAGCTATTCAAGTTTATCATTCACGGATTCGAAATATCAACAGTTATACAATTTTACATTGTCCAGTTCACGATACAAAGCATCCAAATCAATCGATCGGAAGTCTCGATATACATACAGTTTCTCTTTGCTTTGGTTAAATTTTAATACAGAAGAACGATTAGAAACAATAAAATAGTCAAGAAGACTGGCACTAGAATTATTAGAGCACCTAGTTGGCACTGAGATGTTAACAGCTGAAAGACCTAAGCTTGCAACATTATCAAGCAACGAAGAACATAATGAATCACCAGAAAGGAGATTGTTATTATTAAAGTCACCACAAAGTATAATATTCTCGTACTAGACAGCAATATTAGACAACTTATCAAATAAAGGACTTATACAGACAAATTTATTAGGGTTATACGCGCATGAAACATGCTTATTGATTTCTTAATTAATATATATTCTAAAACTAAGATGAAAAAGCTTCTGCTTTCAATTTAAAATGAAACTCCTCTTAATTTTATTAAAAGCTTTTTGAATTAATTAAAAAAGTTTTATTCTTAATGTGGCACGTCATTCATACTAGTACTATTCATGAAACGTCGCAAAGTGGAATTTTTGGCGAAATGGCAACGTTGTGAACAAAGCAGTATGAATGACCTATAGTAACTCCAATTGCAAATATCAAGTTTTTTCAAATCCTGCGCATAAGTGAAAAATAAAAGATTTTATAATTATATTTCGAAACAGCCGTAACTGATAAACTTTTTCTTAAAGTATTTGAGGACAATAAAAAAATGTGTTCCGCGAGTGTTGCAAAAAAGTTTTCATACAAAAGTAATCATCGGTGTCACAAGGTGTTAAATTTTGCAACAAACGCGACAGTTCCAACAATTTTGCTACCTTTCATGAATCCCAATATTATTTCATAGAAGAGTGTATGTAGTGAAAACTCCGTAGGCGAATTAATAGAGTTGCCTTTTAGTAGTCCGTGTTCGATGCCAGGTCAATTCAGTTATTTCCTTTTTTTTGTAATTTGTAAAACATAATTAAAAAATATAGCAAAAATTTTATGTACTTAATGTTATAGATAAGCCTAAGTTTATAAAAATCTATTAATATTATTAATTAACCAGCAAATACCCGGTATAGTTTGATACCTCACGGTGCTCTTGAACCAAATTCAACTGAGTCGGTCTGGAACGACGGAATTTCCCATTAGACTAGTTTGAGGGGCGTTACCAAGTAAAAATATACGAAGTTTGAAGCTTGTGCCGATTTCAAAAACTGTCACTTTTTCGATTTTAAGCCGAAATTTTCGCATTT